GGAAAGAGGATTTTAAGGTCATTTAAAGTACCTAGTATCAAACAATATTATTTAACAAGGGAGTGTGCGATAGACTTATATCCACATGGGGCGCCCTGAGCAATGTATTCTCATACGGCAAAAAAGTCTATCCTGACTTTAAACTACCATCACCCCACTGTATGTCATATTCGACTACTCCACAGTACTCACCTCACCATTTTTCTACCTTTGTGTCTGTCTGTCTATCTCTTTTACATCTGTGAATCACTTTCTGTCCCCCCCCCCCTCCTGAACTTTATCTCACTTTGATGTTTCTACTCCCCTCTGTGAATCTCGAAGTCACATAAGAGCTAATGATAAGTATCAAAACGCCTGCCATTTAATAAAAATAAATAAATATTACTCATCAGTTCAGGGAACAATGTGCTAAATTGCGCAACAAAGGACTGTGCATTCAAAGCTTATTTTTGTGAATGGTCAGTGATTGAATTGGCCAATCGCACGAGTTTAATAAGGTCAATAAAAGTGGTTGAATCTAACATCCACAACGAGGTGGCCCTTGAATCGTTTCCCAGGATGAGTGTCAAAAGCATCTTTATTAGCGAAATAGAGATTTAGAGATCTGCATTACAGCATGCATCCATATCAGCTATTTTGTGCTCATTTCTCAGCTGCTATCAACAATTTTGCTGGTCTGTCTATTGGCAGGCGTTTTGATAGTTGTCATTAGCCCTGTTCGGGGCTTCACAGAGAGGAGAAGGAACATCAAAGTGACGGAAAGTCGAGAGGGGGACAGAACAATGATTCACAGATGTAAAAGAGACAGACAGACACAAAGGCAAACGATTCACAGATGTAAAAGAGACAGACAGACACAAAGGCAGGGAAAAGGTAAGGTGAGTACTATGGAAGGGGTCGCATATGACAAATAGTCGGGCCATAGTAGTTTGAAGTCAGAAGTCAAATGCCGATCAATAGACTTTTTGCGGTATGAGTATACGTTGCCCAGGGTGCACCACGTGGAGGTAAGTCTATTACGCACCTCTCAACTTGAAACATGATAAATTTCACAGGTCACTTGCAGAAGGTCTCGCTTTGCACTTGACAATGAGTAGTTGTGGTAACACTTTGATATGCGTCTATCCAGCCACTTTAGTTATTTGTAAGTCTTGAAGCAAGTAGTAATTCGGAGTTTGAAGTCTTTGTTTATCGTCGCGTCTGTCAAATTGTCATCTTTTTTTAATAGTACAGCATTTTTAATCGTTTGTTTTCGGCTAGTTTTACACTCAATGAGATATTTTAACCACGATGGATAGTTTAAGGCAGATTTATTTGAGAATTCAAAACTTTGAGACAGCTGTGAATTTATAATTCCATAACTATAAAAAGATATAGCTACACCCAATTCTTGTCTAGATACTAAACCAAGATGAGACGAAATTTGTGTCCTTTAATTAAATTTCCCTAAAAATATAGACTCACTTAAAAGTATATGCCAATTATCACTTAAGTATTTGCGAATTTTACAACCAATCGAATAGGAAAGTACTTTTAATTTGATGAAATTATTAGTTGTATCAATAAAATACAAGAAATTGTGAAAGTTCATGAAATAGGGTTGATTTTTAAATAAGCAGTTTGTGTTTCAAAATTCATAAATGTTCCACTGTATTAGAACAAATGATTGT